CAAGTAAATCTAATCCAAAATCCCAAAAAGTAGGATTATGAGAAACATGAAATGCTCTTTCAAGTCCATTCAATATTTCTTCGTCAATCAGCATTTGGACATCTCTTTCACAAAGAATAACAAGTTCACAATTATCAGGTACTTTGAACAAATCACCTCCAATAAACATTCCACTGGAGTAACAACGACTCTGATTACCCAACTCATTAGAAACATTCAATGATAACTTTGTACTAACGATAATAAGCATACAATGATGATAATCCATTGCACTGGATAAGACTTGATCATAAACAGGATCTAAAAATTTCTTGGCTTCATCTATAATATCTGACCAGCCAATTCCTTCCGACTTCCAACGTCCTTTACATGCAACTCCAACAGTAAGAACTTTGGGTTCCACAGGAGATTGTAATTGGAATATAATATCAGGACTATGAGAAGTAGCGTCCAAAGGAATGTAAATAGTCTCTAAATAAAGTGTCTCTCGAATAATCTTATTCCATTCACTATTGGCAAAAGTTCGTCGACTCTTGTTCGATTCACTTTTTGTTTCTCTAGAACTAACAACAGACTTGATATAGTGAATAGGTGATATTGTACTCATTGGAAGTTTCATTTGTTTCCATATCGGAGACAATTGACACAACAATTCCCTCAACTCATTTCGATTCTTTGAAGACAACATCAAAACTAGTCGTAAAGCAACAATTCCTTCAAATACACGACACTTTGAATAGAAGAAACAATCTACTGGTTCTACATCAAGTGATTCGAGAAGTATCTTTTCCAAAGAAGAGATGGAAGGGTCGTTCTTGAAGATTCCAACAAATACTTTTGGAATAAGAATTTGGAAAGTATTCTGATCAATAGGATATCGATATAGTCCCATTTCAGTGACGACATCAAATAAAAAGGACTCCGAGGACAATATATCATCTACTTTAAACGGTATACGATAAAGTGCCATCATCAAAAGTAAATCAAAAACACTTTTTCTATCTTCGTCCAAATTCAATATTCGTTCCACAAATGGTTCAGCACAAATTCTTCGGAAATCGTAGTCATTCATACACGTCAAACATTCTTCTTTCGATATGAAAGGCTGGTTTCTTGCTATTATATAATTCAAAAGCATATTCACAGCACGAGTCAACAAACCNGGAACTCCACCTGTACATTCCAATAACGAATCTGCCAATTCATTTACTGAAAATGAAGAACTACATAAGACATTACAAACCGGAACTTGAGTAGGTGTTTCAAGAAGAGTCTTTTCAAGGAATTCAACGATACTGGAAGCGTCCAAAGGTGATAAAGAAATAAAATGTAGTATGACTTTTGATAATCAAACAGCTACTTAATGCTTCAAACTTAAACCCTTGCTTTTCCCAACAACAATAAAAAACAAGTCGGGTTCTTTACACAAACTCCGAATAATACCGAAAAAGTTGTTGTATGGTCGAACTATACGTTTGTCATTCTTTTCTAGTTCAAAAAAGTTCCCTTTATATCCAAAACACCAATTTCATATCAAAAGCTAACAGAAGATATTGATCAGAAAAAATGTTGAGGACTGAGCGAAGTTTTCTTAACTACCTTATAGGGCCGTTTACGGCATTCTTTGAAGGCATTTTTTCATCCTCTGGTTCTTGTCCAACAGAAGTGTAAGATGCTCCTATCAGTCGGAAGTTGAAGCCCACTTCAGGTTTCGATTTTCCTCGATGGGTCGTGTGACCTCTAACTTCCTTAGACCAACATAAAGCAACGAAGCCCTTTTCAGCTTCTCCAAAAAGGTTCTCCTTGAAGGGTCCGAAGCAAGAGTCGATAGAAAAGTTTCGCCAAACCTTCGCACCAACTCCAAATAGGTTTAACAAAACGTGGTTTTGCCAGAAACGAACATTTGATAAGGAAACGGGATGGTCAAGCGATAGTTGTGACTACTTGTTATAACCCTGAGTTATTTTTGACTTTTATGTAGATCATAGAGTATTTTTGTCACTTGAAAAACATCACTTCCGCTGTCTACTACAACAGACTCAAACTTGTCAAGAAAATCCCACTTTTCACTCCGACTCTTTCTCGTTTTCAGAAAAGTAAAAGTAAATAAAAGATTGACTGTTCTCCGTTAACAATAACAACAAGGAAAACAGTAAAGGTACAAATGCAACTTCTCACTGCCAACTGATGACTATGCCATAACCTTTAGGGCTTGGACCGAGGTGACTTGAACTGCAGGTTGATAGGAACAATGGAACCTTTAACCATCGGAAAAGTAGCAAGTTGAAGAATTTGTATCTTGTTCAACATCTGGACTATTTATGGAACGAACAACAACAACAACAAAATGAAGCCAAAGCACAAATTTGGTAAAACAACGACATGATGGATTGAAAGGCAATGACGAAGCTGATAGAGTGAGTAGCAACTCTAGGCACTCATCAAAGGAGGCAAGTCGAGATAATGTTTAAATGTCATATCTTTTGACGTGTCAGCATACCAAGTAACCAATTCTTTCTACTAGTAGTAGGTGGATAACGTATACCAACAAGTGGTTCCATTCGAAAGTTTCTTTTCAAAATGGCTCTGGCATGAGAAAATACTTGAACAGAATATTTTCCGTGGTAAACTCCTATTCCACTCTTTCCAATTCCACCAAAAGGAAGCCAGGAAGACATTACATGAGAGATGACTTCGTTGATAGAAACTCCTCCAGAAGCGACTCTCTCCATCACTTGCTCATCCACTAGTGAGTCATTGGAAAAGATATACAATACCAAAGGTTGCTCTAGCACAGGAGTGTTCACTATCCAATGACACGCCTGTTCCAATGATTCGTAAGGCATAATAGGTAATATAGGACCGAATATTTCTTCCTTCATTAGACAATCATCTAAAGAAGATACAACTACAATACTAGGCTCTATAAAAAGTTCATCTCTATTTTGTTGTTTCCCACCATACACAATTTGACCCCGAGTATTGTTCAACAAATCAACTAGACGATCAAAATGAGTTGTATTCACTATACGAGAATAATCGCTGGAATATTGAATATCTTCTCCATAAAATTCGTTCCAAGCAGATTTTATATATTCAATGAGCTCCATCAACATCGACAGAGGGCATAGGGCATAGTCTACAGAAACACATAACTGACCACAGTTCAAAGTCTTTGCCCAGGCAATCATTCTGGCAGTCTGGTCATCATCATATAAAATAGCATTCATGATATATAATCAGGTGCCTACTTCCTCTTACCTTTTGCAAATCACAACTCTTATCAATAACTGCAGGTGACTTTCCTCCCAATTCCAAGGTAACAGGAGTGAGATGCCTGGCAGCTGCTTCCATTACTTTACGTGCTATAGAAGCTCCTCCTGTATAAAAAATGTGATTCCACTCCAACTCTAACAAAGCGGCACCCACTTCAGGACCACCAACAATAGCTTTGTAACAGTCGACATCCAAATATTGTGAAATAAGGGCTTCCAATAAGTGTGCAGTGTTGGGAGCTTGTTCAGAGGGTTTCAACAGCACAGTGTTTCCTGCAGCAATGGCACCAAAAAGAGGCTGTAACTATTTACACTTGGTCAATCCAATAGTAATGTACCCCATTCTATCTCCACTTTTACTTACAGTAAGAACTATGGGAACATTCCACGCTCCAAATATCAATACAGTACCTAATGGCTCCAGTCGCACTTCCTGCGAGTCAAAAGCAAAAGCAGGGTCTCTCACATAGTCTAGCAGCCATCCAGTTCCTTTTCTTTCTGTTTTTAGATATTTTCTCAAGTTTTTCTTGATATCTTTTAAATCGTTAATGGCTGTGGTGATTTCCAAGGCTGTCTGACTGGGAGGTCTCTTCAAATCCTTGTAAACTGCTGAACAAAGAGCTTCTTCTTGTTCTTTCAACAATAAAGCCAATTGCTGGAGTTGACTTTCACGAAAGGCTATATTTCTAGCTTTGGGAATAGCGGTTTTAAGTTGCTTGTGCAAGTCGACGTAGACTGAATCTGCCATGAATAATTGAGATATTTATGTGGGAGACATGATGACGAAATAATTTACAGATCGTCATGATGATGTGCTTGTATATGCAATGTGTTTCTGACAATAATATTCAAAGACAATCTCAAAATGATGACTCATTGTCAAACTATGCGATCGATAGTTACAAAAGTAAGTATAAAAATTCTACTTTCCATCTCCCTAAACAGTAACATATACAGGTATATAGGATTCTATCTCCAAAACCTTTTCTTTGCTGTCCAATGTTGCTCTAGATTTGATTACTTTAATGGAAACATTTGCAAGTATCTTTTCCAAAAACTGTTGACAAGAAATATAATGCAAATCTCTTATTAGCCTTGTTTCCAACGAATAGAATCGAAAACAGAATTGCCAAACAATTCTTTCCAATGAGCTATCTGTCGATACAATTGACGAGCACCTTATTTTTGCTATTTCCTTTTCCTGATGAGGTATTAAAGACGAGTTAGAATCTTCAAATTATTTTCATGTCATACAATCCACACAAATGATGGAAGCATTGGATATTCTCAGTCGCCAACAAATTCTCTATATAAACTACATATTCGCTCTCGATAAGAATAGTCATTGCTATCAATTAATTTCCAGGACTTTATCCAATTCATCTGAAAGAAACACTTAAAAATGGAATAAACTCGAAAAAGGAAGTCATCTGTAAATCTTTAATGGGCATTGAATAAACTCCCTTTTATGTTCCGATATATGTAAAACAGATATCTTCACAATCTTTATTTCATTCACAACTCAATAAGCCATTCTAAGCACACAAAGATCAGTCTATACTAGAAATGAGCCAGTTGGCATTCCTTCAAAACAAATAAACTGAATGGCTTTCCATTTCATCTTATTGACTTTTGTTGTTCCTAAAGATGGTGGTCTGTGAGTATTCAAAATGTCATTCAAGCCCAAATGAGACACATGTAAAAAGAAATCATACTCAATACAAGGATTCAACCTTTCGAATGGTGAATCGTTTTTATCTTCCTATTGAATATAGAAATTGATCGAAAACAATATAATATACAATGTTGTTGCTTTGAAATGTCAATCTTTATCATGATATCTTTCTATAAACACTATTGGCAAATAGGTAACTGAGGAGTTTTATGATTTAAAAAATCCACAAATCAACATTCTGCAAAGCTTCCCCTACTTTTGTAGCAGTTTTGAGATAGTTATTATGGTGGTTTCTTTTCATCGCTACTCGACGATATCTTTTATTACCTCGACACTTGAACTTTATTTTGGACTCAATCCTTAAAGTTGGATCATTTAATATATGCACATGTTTCTTAAGGATAGATGGAAATAGTTGGTTGCACTTAAAGGCTTCCTTTTTGTACTTATGAGTGAATGGATCCTCTCACTCATGATGCGTTAAGCCTGTCCTTGAAAAACCTCACAATCATCCAATGAAATATATGAGACATGTTGAAGAGAAGCATTCTTCATGCAATCATGATCCGTTGTATTGAAATGAAACAACCTAACCATATTACATATCTATATTCATCAAAAACGAAATGTTTTGGCCACTTGACATTCTCCACCTCCTTTTTCTGTTTCTCATGGACTTTGAAAAGATTTTATAGTATCTTGGAAATATACAAAGGTTTCTTTTAAGCTATTGGATCTTTAAAGAAGAATCTCATGAGATTGAGGGTTGACAGCATATCTTTATCGAGACTTTTCTCATAGGAAGAATTGCACTCATTGACAAAATATTATCTTCTCAACAACTAGAAATGCTCAATATTTTATCAGCTGGAAGCACTTTGAGAAACTTGGTAAGAGTGAAAACTATCTGTGCAAATCTTTCAAAAGTTGAAAAATTGCCTTCTTCTTCATTTTACTCTGTATTACCAATAACCGAGACAAAGGCTTGATTTCATAACTCTAGTGCAAATTGGACAAATGCTTTCCATTCTGTTAAAATTTGTGTTCTAGTTTCAACCAACGTTACTAGAAAAACCTTTACTTGACATTCTATTTTTAAGTTGTCACAGAATGAACAGCGTTGAAAGAGAAGGTCACGAAATTCTTGAAGTGTGCACTGTGTGCTTTATTCAAATTACCCAAATCCTCAAAAGACTCTGAATTCAAATGGCCTTTTCAAGTGCCACTTTTTTTTAGTTATCAGGTCAATGAAGATGAAATCAAAAGTCCAAGTTAGTTCAATCTTGTAAGTTTATCAGCAAGTTTTCTTCAATTTATCCAACTCGGTTCAATGAAAGACAATAAAATTTTATACAAGGATGGCAATCGCAAAAATAGTACTATTTAAAGCACTGGAAAGATCAAGGTATTCATCTTGAGAAATTGCCTATCAATGGCTATAATGTATTTCCCTTGTGAACGTTTGATTGTCAAGAATCATTCGAATCTGAAGAAAAGTTCTACACTTGCCAAACAAGCTTGCGTGATCGAGGTTCTTCTCTATTGCAAGTGTGGCTTGGCTGATGCTTTTTTTTATGAAAATTTTCCACATATGTTCCATTGAAATAGTTTAATTGATTTTGTGTCCCCTTAGTTGTAATACTTTGGAATCTTGGACTGTGTATGTCTCACTGTCCAATCGTTAGCCTCGAGTTACTTGAGAAAATCTTAAACACGAGAATCCATTTGAGATAAGAAGTTCTTTTATTAAAAATTGAAGTAGTTTTGATTTTGAAGAGCAGTTCTTTGGTTGTAAAGTCAATAGCTATCAAAGTTGGTTGAATTTCTTTTGATTCATTAGTTGTTCCTTACTGTCTGGAAGAGGTTGAGAAGATATTACG